CCCGACAGGCTCCCACCTCCTCCCTCCTCCCCTTCCCCCCAGGCACGCCCCCACCCCCAGCAGCAAGGGAGCCTCCACTCCCAGCTCTGCTGCGTGTGCTGCCCCCCAACTCTGCACCGGTGTCGAGGGGACCCTCTGCCAGGGCCAGCCTCAGAACTGCGTGGACCTGAACTAGATTCTGTTTGTAGACACCCCTCACTCTGAAGACCAGGGACAGTGCCTGGTGTGAGCAGACACTCCTCCTTTTCAAGTTCAGCCAAAGTTGTCATTTCTGTGCCTGGCATCACCTTGGGGCTCCCCTTTCTCTCTGCACTGTGATCTCCCCAATGTTACTAAACGCCTTGGCAACCGGGCGGCAGGTGGGGGCTACGGTCTCCGCGGCCTTGAGCTGCGCTTACAGCCGACCACTCTGGCCTCACACTCAGAGCCCTGGGGCACGGATGCCTTTGGAGCCCCCCTCCCCCACCCGTGAACTGGTCCAAGGACTTGCCAGTTCCTCAGTTAAAGATACCAATAACTGGAATCCCCCCACCATGCCCCACCCCACAGATTCTGACTCAGGAGGATCCGGGAGGGCCCTGTAATCTGCATCTCAGCCTGCTGGGGGTGGGGTGTCATACTCCCCAGAAGCAGGAAGCGCTCACAGCTGAGGGAAGAAGACCGACCGGCCCGGGCAACAGCCCTCAGGAGCACTCAGGAGCCCTGAGAACCCGCAGCCTCTTCAGCCTTTGAGGGTGGGGGGTCGGTGCCAGGGACAGGTGCCCTTCCTGGGGCTGGGAGTTAGGGCTGCTGGCACACACCTCTTCCAGACCTCTGAACTCCCGTGGGCAGGCACAGATGAGCCCTTGCACCTCTCCACTGACCATTCTTCCCGTCCTTCTCCTACATCTCACCCTCCTTCCTTTGGCAAATGCAAAGAAGTTAGGGGCTTGTGATTCACATTTCTTTCCCCTTAACACACCCACACCCATTTTTTTTCTAAGACCCCACCCAACACCAGGACAAGAACTAACAGATTGAAACTCCTATGGAGCTTCCGGCTCCATGGGGCAGAGGGGATCCTTCCAGTACCTCCCGGTGAGCTGGGCGCTTGTGACTGCCTGCTGGACACAAACAGTCCCAAAGGCCATCAAGTAACAAACATGAAGACCAAGAGGCAGAAAGGTGACTCCTAAGAGACTATGCCATGCGGCCCCAAGTCCCGGATATCCCTGGGCTCTTTCACACCTGATGGGATGCATGAGGCCCCCTGGTCAGATGCCAAGGGCAGCAGTACATGAAAGGCCCAGACATGCAGATTGGGCTCACAGCCCGGCCAAGCAGGAGCTTCCTGTTCCCAGGAGCACAACCAGGGACCCAGGACACAACCCACAACAGGCAGGCTCAACATGTCTGCCTGCTAAAGAGGCTTCTAGGAACATTCTCCTGGTCAATTCCTTCAAACACATATCCCTTACAACCACCAATTTACTGCAGGCAGGATCTGCTTCCAGAAACAGCACTCCGCTTTCTGCCCACATCCCAAACACTGACACCACACACAACCCTGCAAGGCACAGTGGGAATATGGTGCCAACTCTGAGTTCAAGTCCTGGCTCTGACACTCATTCCAGATGCACCATCCTGAGCAAGACTCATCTCCCAGGGGCACCATCCCCTCATCCACAAGAGGCAGGTACCTACCCTCTGGAATCACTGCAAGAATGGAAGGATAAAAGTTTAATATCAACTGCCTCAATAAATTCCTTCCCTTCCCACCTACTCCTGTGACTCAGTTTCCTTTCTCAGCTCTAACCCAAAGAGATCCCAAGCTCACTTAACGCAGAATAGGAGGCCCAGGCACAGAAGACAGAAAATAATTTTAATAAGCCCTAAGGTTCCCTGATACTCTTGCCCTCAAGTGCTCACCTTTTTAATTTTTTATTAAAAAAATTTTTAACATCTATTTCTTTGTGAGAGACAGGAGACAGAGCGTGAGCGAGGGAGGGGCAGAGAGAGAGGAGGGACACAGAATCTGAAGCAGGCTCCAGGCTCCGAGCTGTCAGCAGAGCTGGACGTGGACTAGGACCGGGAGATCATGACCTGAGCCGAAGTCGGATGCTTAACCACCGAGCCACCCAGGTGCCCCTCAGATGCTCAGCTTTGAACCTGATCATCAGCTACACCTGGGGCTTCATCCCCTGAACCCTACATTTTCTCACTGGGTGAAAGAGACCACCCTTAAGTTTTCCAGTTTTCCGAAATCCAGGTGGCACTTCCCCGCCCTGCTGGGACAGGGCAGTGGAGGGTAAACAAGGTTACACAAGGGGCATGCAGCTCTCAGGCTGTTTGTGCTGGCCAACGGGGCAGCACTTTGACTTTTAAAGTGTACGGAGGTGATTTGAGTCCCCATTTAGCATGCAGGCACAGATGCTCCTAGTGTTCCCTAGAGTTAATTGGGTCCTTCCCCAGCCGCACCCCACCCCCCGCCCGCATTTTGTGGCAGGTACATTCAGAACTTGGGTCTCGAGTCGTGTCCATTCTGTCCAAAGCCCCAGTGTTCAGAGCTGTCCCCTGGAACCGCCCCAGCCTCCCGGACCTCCAGCACGCACAGGGTCGTGTCTGCCCGCTGCTCTGGACTGCAGATGAGGGGTGGAAGGAAACAGTCTGGGGGCCCCGCTCTGGGTCGGCAGCGGGTGACGAGTGAGAGGAAACAGTTATCGCCACAGAGGAGGAGATACGATCACCAAACCTCATGCGCCCGTGCCCCACCAGCCCGCTGGGGTGGCGCTTTCCCCGGAGTTTCCACCGCGGGCCGGCGACCGGGGACCACACTCCCCAGAACTCCTAGCGCTGTCCCTACGCGGGTCCCCCTAAAAACACGTGCGCATCCAGGGGCGCAGCGGCCTCCAGGGTCCTGTCTCAGGCACCAAGAGGGTCTGGGCAGCCCGGCGCACGTGTCCCTCTAGGCTGGGAACCCGAAGTCGGAGCGCCCCGCCGCGATTCGGCCAGCAACCTGGGCCTGGAGCGGGCAGTGCTTTCCGCGACTCCGACGGGGCCCCGGGGTCGGGGACGCCGCGCGCCTCACCTGAGCGGGACGCGGATGGCCAGGTACCTGTCGACGGCCACGGCCAAGAGGCTGAAGATGGAGCTCTGCGTGAGCACGAGCACGAAGCATGCGAGGAAGAGGCAGCTGTGGAAATCGGTGCAGAAGCCCAGGCTGATGGTGATGGCAAACGGGATGGCGAACAGCCCCACGGCCACGTCGGCCGCCGCCAGGGACACCAGGAAGTAGTTGGTGGGCGTCTGCAGCGCGCTCGACGTGCCCACCGCGACGCACACCAGCACATTGCCCGCCACTGACAGCACGGCGATGGCCAGCTCCAGCGCCACATACAGCGCGTCCTGAGTCTCCAGCGGCATGGCCGGGCCGACCCGGCCCCGACGTCGCCTACCCGGGCCGCGCTAGGCGCGGGGCAGCCGCGTGGGCGCCGCCGAAGCGCCCGCACCGCGCGTCCGCCAGCCGCGTCTGACCCGCCAGGCTCGCGCCCTCGGGACCCGGGCTCCGGGGGCGGGACCGCGGGGAGGCGGCGGCGCCCATTGGCCGGGGCGCCCGCCCGTCTCGGACCCCC